CACAGGAAAAAATCGGGAGAAGTTAAATCTGGCGAACGAGGAGGCCACGCGACTGCGCCCAATCTCCCAATCCACCTACCATTGTATCGGTTATTCAAATAATTTCTTACAATATTTGAATAATGTGCTGGCGCACCATCCAATTGAAGCCACATCCGTTCTCTGGTGAATAAATCGACGTCTTCCAATAGTTCCGGTAAATCGTCTCGAAGAAACTGCAAAAAGTTTTGTCCGTTAACGTTTTCTTCAAAAAAATAAGGACCTATTAAATAGCCATTTACGATGCCACACCAGACCATTAAAGACCAACGATTTTGGAAATTAGTTGAACGAAACCAATAAGGATTTACATCGGACCAGTAGTGACAATTATGTCTATTTACAGTTCCATTGCTACTGAAAGTTGCCTCATCCGAAAAGAGTACGTACCGGTTTGGGGTATTGTGTGTTGTGGCGGTTGCCTTTATAATGCGTGATCGGTCGCTCGCGGGGAGGATGTAGTGACACTCACGGTTTCTTTTAACAAGTAACAAGAAACATTTTATTGTACGTTGGTTACACGTGTGTGTGTGTGTGTGTATGTGTGCGTGCTTGGGAATTGTCCCTGTCTCCTTAGGACTCGTCGAGCCGCTTAGTTTAGTTTCTTGCCATGGAGGCGACGCGTCCTTCCTTGCTGGGGACCTCCCGAAGCCGGCGCTTGATTCTCCTTGTCTAGGGGCCCGTTCGTGCGGCGTGGTGAGACCGGGCGTAGGATCCGGATGTCGCCGCGTGTTAGAGAAGCTGCTGCAGGTCGAGTCAGCCTCCTTTGCGGGAGCCAGATCCGATGGAGCTTCCACGGCGTGGGGATGAAAACGTTGGCCGCTGCCGGTGCTGGTGATAAGGGAGTTTCCCACAAAAGCGGGGACGGCGTCCCAGCCCGCATTGGCGAGGGTGTCCGCGGCCGTGGCGACCGGCCTGACGGACCTCCTGTCTCGGCCTCTGGGGAGCTGTCTCCGAACAGCTGGTGCAGTCGTTGCCGTAGGCCCTGGCTCTGTGGCGTGTGGGCTAGTGCCCGCGCCGAGGAGCTGGCCGACTTCCCCTTCTCCGTCGTAGTGGGGTGCTGGACGCCTCTTCGGCGTCGGTGGCCTTTTTGCCGCTTCTTCAGCGGACACGCTTTTCAGCGCGGAGTATCGCTTCTTCAGCGAGGCGCACTTTTCAGCGCGAGGTATCGCTTCTTCAGCGAGTCGCACTTCTTCAGCGCGGGGTATCGCTTCTTCAGCGAGGCGCACTTCTTCAGCGCGAGGTATCGCTTCTTCAGCGAGGTGCACTTCTTCAGCGCAAGGTATCGCTTCTTCAGCGAGGAGTAGCGCCTAAAGGTGCTGTTGGTACCGCTGCTGGTATTAGGGCTATTAATAAAAGTCGCCACTAATATCAGTGCAGCGGTGTGCGAGTGTGTCTGACCACCCGCCGAGTCTGCCTTTTATTGCTGCCTAATTAAGATTTTCTCGCGAGAAAACCCCCCCGCGAATGCGCCACCGAACGGCGTCGCGCGGAGGCTCTCGCGGTTGTGCGGCGGCTCGGCTAGCGGCGCCACGCTTGTGTGTGTGCGGATCTATATCGATCCGCCACAACCGGAAAAAGTTTTCATCTTGTTGGATCATTTGCAGAGCCCATTCACAAAAATTTACACGAAGTAAGTAATCATTAAAATTCAAATGTTGTGTCAACGTTATGTGATATGCATGAAATTTTCTCGCCTTTAATATTCTCGCAACTGTTCGCTGAGGTATGCCAATTTCTCTTTCGATTTGACGAGTGCTAATATGACGATCGAGATAAATTTTCGCTAAAATGGTTATAACACGATTATCATTAACATCATATTCATGATGTCGTGATCGGCGAACCATAGACCCATCACTTGCTCTCTGCGCAAGGGTTTTAATGGTTACCCTAGTTGGATGCCTTCTATCAGGATAACGTTGAGCATACAGACGTTCAGCTCTCGAAAAATTATTCCTACATTCCCCCAATATTTTGATCATGTCCACGATTTCGTTTGGTGGGTAGGCTGTCATATTAAAGATAAGAAATTACCT